TCACACCTTTGTTCCAATTCCCACACCGGATACAATTTCTTAAAAACCGTATATATACGGTTGTACAGCTTGATAATGAATTCGGTGACTAGAGTCTCTTCGCTGATTGTTATGATTTTATGAAGCGTTTCAATCTTGGTATTTAATGTTTACGTCATTCGTGAGGTTTTTTGGTTTTATTCTGGTGAAAGATATCCTTTCTTCGCTTAATTTGTGTCCAATTACAGATATCGATATACCTGTCTAGTTCGAGTCGGTTTCTGCATAGGTTGATCTTTACTTTGAGGGAATTGTCATATCTAAGCTATTATTATTATTATTATTATCTTGCCAATAAAAAAGAGAACATTCGAGAAATTGTATGTCAAGTTAGATAACGAAGTGACTTTAGTTAGAGAACTACTGAAAGACAGGCATTTCTAAACATTTTTTCGCCCGTTTTAGTTACTCCTCAGAAACGCGTACCCACAGCTGCAGTAGGAATCAAACTTAGAACTTTCAGGCTACTAGGTGAGTCCGTTGGCCACTCAGCCACTGAGATGTATTCCTTTGGTGAAAGAAGTCTAACTTCTGTCAATTTGCAATGTACAGTGTAACCGCCTGCCTAATGTCATTAGCGAGTATTTGTCCACACACCCAGTGTGGTGGACACTGTTGGTTTCGACTTCTCACTAGAACTTCAGACAACTCTATCCTGTAGTCCTGGGTTCGATTGCCTATGGGCTCATGGACATGTACTGCTGAAAAGTCACAAATTGAGTCATAGGAGCTGTCGTTTCCAGTGAATCTCTGACTAAGGCCGCTTCGTCATGATCTATCTTGAAGTCAGTCAGATCGCAGGAAACCAACACTTGAAAACTACTACACTATTCAGTAATTCTGTAAATTGTATTTCCTTCCCACTGAGGCGAATCACCTGCGTATATGCGCATACGATAACCAGACTTGAAATTAAGATAAATCCATCATAGGATGTATCAATAAAAGAGGTTTGATATAGCAATAAAGCATTAAGTAAATAATCAGCAGTATAGGTGCATACGTTACACACACCCACACACAAACGCAGACACACCTTCCGTTAAATGGTGCCCACTGAAGGTTGTTCAGTCGATAATATCACTATCTTATCCTGTTTTAGTTGTTTTTTCTCTCTCTCTAAATTTTCAACCAAGTGTACTATTCTGCTTCTTTTTCGAGTATTTCAACTTTTTATAGCCACAGTTACCTTGATCACAAAAGGAAGAAAATTCCCCTCAACTCAAAGATGATCTTTCATTCTATTGTGTGTTTTTGCTTTTTCTCATTTATCGTCTCATTAACCACACCCAACTTTAATTTTGCTTTGTTTTCCCCTCTTAATTGCTAAACAGTAGGGTTGAAACTTGCTACTGAATAACACGAATGATGAACTTGGTTGATTCGGAAAGGTTCACTTTCAGGTTGTTGAGCAGTTGGAATTATTTCCCCCCCCCCTATTGTATTCATCTAACTGAATTAAATTACGAGTATTAGAAAGAAATTCAGTGAAACGTTAACCATAGTACTAATAATGGTGTAGCGATAATGATAACAAAAGGAGCTCAAACCAATAAATGACAGTAGCAGTAGTAGGAATCATTAGTTATTTCTTTCAGTGTCTACATTTTCTAAGGAAAATTCATTCGCCAGTTTTGGAGAAGTGCTTATTTCTGTCTACTCCAAAAAAGATGGTAGAAATTTGAAAATATTACTGAATTATATCGTAAGTTATCCGGCTGCAGGGTAATGTGCTATTTTGTGAAACCTGATAGGCTCGGCTTACCTTCCCTCTGCTGAGGAGTGGCAAAATAAGACGAAGTAGTTGCGCATAAAGCCTCTTGAGTTTTGACGATTTTTCAGTTGATATCATCTGGTCATGATGAAATCTCTTTGTAATAAAGATAAAGTACTTCAGTTAAGGCATGTCCTCAAGCTCAGTTAAATGCAGTTATTTCAAGCTTGATCATTAGTTTATGTCAGTTAGAGAACCACTGAAAACCAGGGGGTACTGGAGATTTGTTTTGCCGTAGTTCTGAACTCTTCAATGGTATGCACCCACCTAGGTTTCAACTCAGGAGCTTCTGGTTGCAAGGCAAGTTCATAGACCATCAATCCACTTGGACCCATGAATTCCAACTTCTAACAATTCGTGATTGTAGCGCGATCACCAGCCACTGTCTTCGGAGAATTTTTGTCCGCACGTTGGGTGCGTTCTGATGAAGAGTCCCAAACAGGAACGAAACAGCTGTTCAGTACTCCCTGGTTTTCACTGGTTCTCTGACTAACATCCACCTTTGATCACACATAAAATAAATGAAACCGCTACAAACTGACTCTTGAAAATATACTTTTGGAGTGAATATTGCTCACTTAGATATTAAACAATTAAGCCTAGCGAAAACTTCATGCTGTACTTTTTTGGTGTTAAAAATTGTCATATGAGAAGAATTACTCAACAGGTGGCATGTGAGGGTTGACAGTATCCGGTGGCCTGCTTAAATCACTGGGCTACCAGAACTTCCATCCATCAAAATGCTTAAACTCTTCTGCACTTCTTATTGTTTCATTCGTGCAATTGCATCAGATGACCAATACATGAACTCGCACCTGTTTAATTAGTTTCCCACTACTATACGCTAAACAATTTTCGAAGGAACTGATGAACAAATGTGCAGAATTGGTTCTCTCCTCATCTGCAGCCACACTAAGACAAATGATGTACTTCATATTATTGCTTTACATGTAAATTCTGTATGACGAGGAAATATTCTGGAACTAAATACGCTGAAAAATTCTGTAATATATGTTCACATATTGTCTGAAACAGAGCTTTATTATTATTATATTAGTCTTACATCTCTTTGAGACAATCTATGCTCACTGATGAAGACCTTCAGAATAGGGCAAAACAGAATCGTCAAGTGACCTGGTTCATTTATATCCAAGTCGCGGTGTACATATGAAGATACATGATAAAGAGAAACATTTATACATGTCTCTGACATATATATTGCAACTTTGCATCTCTATGATACACATAACTACTTAATACTTTCTATACATTATGAAAGTTATTCATAATTGCATTGTAGTAAGTTTTACATTAAATAATACAGTTTTCAACTAACGGACAGTATAAGGCATGTTACCAAGCTATTCAATCGCTTAACATTAGATGTATGAATTAGAATTTCAATACATTTTTCTGTGTTCAAATAGTTTTGTGGAGTCATATCGATCTTCTTCTTCTTTTATAGTGTGTTTATCGGGTTAAGCACTTAATTTTCGGCTAAAAAATTTCGGGTCCGGGTGGGGTTGATAGCCTCACCCTGTAAAGAAAACTGATACAGAAACTTCAGTACGATGAGTCTCCTTGCAACGAAAGAAAAAGAATGAGTGGGGAAATGTTTGATTTCCCACAAACTGGAAGATATGCAAGTGAAAAGTAACAAATTGGCAGAAGAAGCACCAAAGGTAGGCCTTTAGGTGAACATAGAGAAAACAGAGGTGATGAAGATTCCTGGATAACATCACCAACAGCAACAACAACAGATAACAATCAGCATAAATGGGAGGAACCTGAAAGAAACAACCTCTTTTACCTACCTGTGAAGCATCGTTTCAACTACAGGCCAGCGGAACTGATGAGGATATCAAAGCAAGGATCGGGAAAGTAAGACAAGCATTCACTACTCTCAAGTCTGTGTGGAGGTCAACAGCACTCAGCATCAAAAATAAGATCCAGATTTTCAACTCCAATGTGAATTCAGTGCTACTATACGGATCAGAGACTTGCACTGCGCGTCATAAAGAGCATCTCAAACAAACTACAGACCTTCATTAACAGCTGTCTTCGCTCAATACTCAAGATCAGATGGCCGGCCAGAGAAGATCAGCAACAGGGATCTCTGGGAGCGAACCAACCAGGAACCGATTGTGAAACAAATAGGCAGGAAGAAATGGAGATGGATTGGCTGGCCATACTCTGAGGAAACCATCAAGTGACATCACTAGACAAGCCATTGCTCGAGTGGAACCCGAAAGGGAAGCGGCGAGTTGGTCGTCAGTGCAAGGGTGACTTGGAGGAGGTCATGTGAAGAGGATATGAAAGCATGTGGACAGACTTGGAGCCAGGTGAAGACTGTAGCAGAGAACCGAACGCAATGGAGACGCGGGGCTGAAACCCTATGTTCCTCTAGGAACTAAAGGAGACAATTATAATAATAATAACTTAAGAGTTCAAAGCCACCTCCATCTAATTCAGTCTAGACAACTACTAAGTAGTATCATAATCTGAATGACTCATGTATGAGAAATCTCTCCCAAGGTGATTGGCTTCTGACAACTGTCTGTTGCTATGTAGTGCTTTTTGTTCATAATTCCAGTGTAACATGATAACTCATCGTGTTATGTGGTTGCCACAACTAACTATACTGTTCTACACCTAAAAACAAAACTTGGGCAAATACATTAATACTAACTACTTGAAATTTCAAAAAAGGCATCAAATTATGTTACTTGTTCGTTGGTGGCTAGCAGTGGGATACAGGACAAACATGTTCTGCATCGTGTTTGGGCCTCGTCATCTGAATGCACCTGCACACCTAGCTGGAACACTGGGATACTCGTTCATCTTGATGACTAGTCTTAAACAAATCAAATAAAGTCATGTTCATCTCAAGGTATTCACGAAGTATGCAACATATGAACAGGCGAGACAGAGGATTTCTGCCCATTAACAAAAAATTCAAAATAGTTTCTGGAAAATGTTAAATTATTTAAATTTCTTAAAACTACTAATTCAGAGTGATTTCTGTCAATTTTTGCTTTCCAACTATCTAAAGTGTAGTTGCTTTTATCAAATGTTATTCAAATTAACCTTTTGCCTTTGTTTTCTTTATTTTTTTATGGTATCATATCAACTCAAAATATGCCACTGATTATACGTATAAATACATCGCCTTCATATGACTATACAGGATGGTTGGGGACGTTATAGTGGTCTTACTTCCTATCAGAATCCATTGCAAATTATTGACTTATTTGTTGATATCATGTTCATTGTGGATATATTCATTAACTTTCGTACAACATATGTCAATAGAAATGATGAATTAATCTCACATCCCGGTCAAATTGCTATCCACTATTTTAAAGGTTGGTTTTTGATTGATGTTGTCGCAGCTATCCCATTCGATTTATTACTATTCGGTGCAGAAACAGATGAGGTAAATTTCTTCATCCCTCGTTGTTTTTTTCACCCCTATTTTTATCCCCACTTCCTCTTTGTCCTTTTAATAGTGTTAATAATTATCAGTCCATCAATCAATTTGAATTTTATTGATTGATTTGTGCAGTGCTTTTTTATCATTGTGTATTTCTTGTAGAAATAAGGAAGAAAAACAGGTATAATACGTAGAATGATTTATGTTTACAAATATTGCCTGGTGTATAATGAATATATACATGTCTTACCGTGTGTGTGTGTGTATGTCTTTCGTGTGCCAGTGTGTGTGTAACAATATCTCGAAAAATAATCACTTGGATTTTAGAAAAGTATATTTTCCAAAAATAACCCACATTTTATCTCTAAAATTAGTTTCAAGGCCTTGCTGATGAGTGCCAACTAGCACGAAACCTAGGTCCAAGGCTTCCTGCCGATTGCCTCTAATCATCTAATAGTTTGAAGGTGTGTTTTACCACGTCTCGTTGGCGAGTTTCGAAATCTCTTCCTTTTTTTGTAAATTACTATATGATTGTTATTGTTCCCTTGGGTTCCTAGTGGAACATAGGGCTTCAACTACACGTCTCCACTTGCTTCTGTCTTCTGCTGTACTTTTCACCTGCATCCATGTTAGTCCATACTGTTTCAACTCCTCTTCACATGATCTCCTCCATGTCACCCTTGGACGTCCCATTCGCCGCTTCCCTTTCGGGTTCCACTCGAGCACTGGCCTGACGCGCGATGTCACCCAACGGCCTCCTCAGCGAGTGTCCAATCCATCTCCACTTTCTCTTGCATATTTGTTGGGCGATTGGTTCTTGTTTTGTTTGTTCCCATAGTTTCTTGTTGGTGATTCTTTCCGGCCATCTGATCTTCAGTATAGAGCGAAGACAGTTGTTGATAAAGGTCTGCAACAGGCTGTTGGAAATGCTCATTCTTTGTGACCCATCGCCAAGTTTCTGATCCGTATAGAAGAACTGACTTGACGTTTGTATTGAAAATCCGAATTTTGTTGTTGATGCTGTTGAGTGACGAAGATTTCCAGATTGGTTTCAGGTTGATGAATGTGTTTCTCGCCTTCCCGATTCTCGATTTGACATCCTCGTCCGTTCCTCCTGTAGTTGAGACAATGCTCCCTCCCTAGATAAGTGAATGAAGTAACCTCTTTCAAATCCTTCCCGTTGATGGTGATTGGCGCTGGATGTTGCTGGTGTTGTTGTTGTTGGTTGGTTATTTTCATAACCTCCGTCTTGTCTATGTTCACCTGGAGTCCTGTCTTTGCTGCTTCTTCGACCAGTTTGTCGGTTTTCGCTTGTAAGTCTTCGATTTTGTGTGACATCAAACATAAATCATCCACGCGCGAAATCCAGGTCTTCTAGGTTCTTCACGTCGGTCCAGGATATCCCTGTCTTCTCGTTTCCCAGTGTCTGACGCATAATCCAGTCCAGTCCACCACAATTAGAAATATCATTGGTGATAATAAGCACCCTTGTCTGACTCCTGTGTTTACTCCAAACGTTTCGCTGAGTTTTCCGTAGTGGATCACTTGACATGTGCCGTTGTCGTACAGCTGTTGAATAAGGCTGATGAATATTTGGGGTATACAGTAGTACTCGAGTAGTTTCCAAAGTACTTCGCGGTCAACGCTGTCGAAGGCCTTCTCAAAGTCTATAAAGTTGAGGTAGAGGTTTGATTTCCATTCCATGCTTAGTTCGGTGACGATGCGTAGAGTTGCAATTTGGTCAGAACATGATTTGCCTTTCCTGAATCCAGCTTGTTCTGGTCGGAGTTCTGTATCCAGTGCGTCCTTTATTCTCTCCAGGATGATGCGACTCAGGATTTTACTTGGCGTCGACAGGAGCATGATTCCTCGCCAGTTCTTGCAGAGTCCTAGGTCGCCCTTCTTTGGTAGTTTAACAAGATAACCTTTTCTTCAGTCAGTAGGCACCTTTCCCTCTTTCCAGATCTTTTGCAATAATGGAGTCAGCATATCTGCTGTCGTCTCTGGGTCCGATTTCAGTGCTTCGGGGGTATTCCATCTGGTCCAGCTGCTTTTCCAGCTTTCAGAAGCTTGATTGCATTCATGACTTCAGTTTTCGTTGGAGGATTGGTGTCAACTTGCAGTTGTGTACGTGCTGTTGTTGGTATTACTGGACGGGTTGTAGGTGGTGGTCGGTTCAAGAGTCCTTTGAAGTGGTCCGCCCATTGTTTAATCTGTCTTTCTTCTTTGTTAATTGGGTTCCCTTGGCTGTCTTTTATAGGTTTCACTTGTGTTGATCTCTTCCCGGATAGAGACTTGGTTATCTGATATAGTGTCCTCAGTTCGCTTTTGCCTGCTGCCTTCTCAGCTTCAGTTGCTAGGTTGTCGTAGAATTGTCTTTTATCCTTCCTAGCACTCTTCTTCACTTTCTAATGAATAATTTCCTTAAAACCCTGACAATAACTGATACTAAATAGCACTTCCTTCTTTGTCGCCTTAGTAAAGCCTTTCTCCGTCTCTCCCTCTCAACAGTACTGTAGGTTTACTATTGTCTAACTCAACTCTAAATCATTGTTACTTCTGTAAAAAGGAAGTAAGTAGTATATTAGTACTATCGTGTAGTTTAAAATTTCAAACTAATTGTTAGGATGGTAAATTGTTGTTTTTAGTTAACTATCCTAAAACATGCTAACGGGATAGCAATGATAGACATCTGTAAATTAGATGAAAGAAACAATAAAAATGAATGAATACCATCCAGTGTATTAACTAACTAGAGAAGTAGTAATTAACAGAATTAAAACGGAACTGAATCATCAATGTAGCAACCTTGCATTAAATTGTAGCAGTTAGTTAGTGTTATCACACTTCATAAATAAGAAATGCACACGAACTACAATAAACAGAATGTGTGTGCGAGAAAGAATAAATTTATGCGGAGAATAATGAGGATTTAGTAGATCTGAGTGGTCATAGAGCGTAAATGCATCAATTCCATTGGGAATGATTTTGAGCCATTTCACTAGCGATCTCTCTCGGTTGACTGTTAACGTTTCGAGGACGCCTGCCAGACAGTATTCACCTCTCTACCTGTCTCGATCATCCAGTAGTCGGATATTTGACTAACCTTAGTTTTTTCCAATCCAACTCATCTTAGGTAACACTAGCTGACGAGTAAGGCTGTGGATCGGGAACAATGATTTACCATGTAAACAATTAATTTTCTACATTAATCTTAGTTCTAGTTATTTAACAATAGAAATTCTAAGGAATAATTGTGTTTCTTATCAGTAACGATGAAGGATTAAGAAATGTATCACTTTGAATTAGCGTTGGATTGTTATAACAGTTTGCTTCATGTAACTGTCCTATTCCGTATCATGTTGTGATCTCTGAGGTGAATGGTTTAGTTACTAAGCCTTCATTGTCCTCCTAGACAAAATCCTCAGCGCTTACTTCAGTATGAAGTGAGCTTTGAGAATTCTTTGTGGTTGAGATATTCGTCTTTCCTGATGATCTTGTTTGGTGGTCCCCAGGTATTTTCTTAATATTGTATTCATCGCTACTGATATTGATTGTCTCCTTTATCTTATATGTGCTGTTTTATGAGAATGGTTGTGACATGCTTTGGGCATATTCGTTGTGCAGATGTAATATTGGATGAATTAGGAGTGGTTTGGGAAATAGTTAGGAGTGGTTAGACTAGAATACATTAACAGTTCTCGAAGTCATTGATTGTTGATTTCAAACACTTCAGCAACTGTCAGTTGTTAAGCTTTATTATTATTATTCCCTTGAGTTCCGAGCTGAATGTAGGGCTTTAGCAGCACACTTCCACTCCACCATGTCTTCGACTGGCTCTACGATTGATCATAAGCTTTCATTTCATCCTCACACGATTCCCTCTATGTTACCGTCAGACAGCGAAGTGGTCATATCCAATCCGAGTTCCACTGAGTGGACTGGGGTACTATGTCACTCAATCGTCTACTAAGAGTATGGCCAGCCCGTCTTCATTTCCTTCTGCGTTTTTGTTGACCAGTAGGTTCTTGACAGGTTGGTTACAAGAGTTCCTGTGGTCTATTTTTTTATCGCCAGTCATCTGATGATCACTGTGGATCGAAAACAGCTGCTGATAAAAGTCTGCAGTAGCCTGTCCGAGTTGTTTCCGGTGACACGTGCCAAGCGTCTGCGACGCATAAAACCACTGACTTTACATAAGCGTTGAGAACCTAAATCTTGTTAGTTATGCTCTTTGATCCTGCCTGTTGTTGAAACGATGCTTCCTAGCTGGTATTCTGGAAATGCTTAGAACCAATGATTGGAGATTATGTGAAACCATTCAAAACTGTTCATAGTAGCATGGATAATCTCATTCTTTTTGTAATGTCTGAGATCCTGGTGAACTTCATCAATTATGGGTATATACCCTTCCTCTCTCTCTCATCCTAGACGTTGGTATTGGTGCAGCTTTAAAAGAAATTTGTTGTGCCTATATATATCTGAAGTTAATAATGTATTTGTAAGTCTATGTTTATTATTAGTATTGTATCCTTTAATTCCTAGAGGAACATAGGGCTTCAGCCCCAAGTCTCCATTGAGTTCGGTTCTCCGCTAGAGTCTTCACCTGGCTCCAAGTCTGCCCACACGTTTTCATCTCCTCTTCACATGACCTCCTCCAAGTCACCCTCCCACTGACGACCAACTCGCCGCTTCCCTTTCGGCCGGGTTCCACTCGAGCAATGGCTTGTCTAGTGATGTCACTTGATGATTTCCTCAGAGTATGGCCAGCCAATCCATCTCCATTTCTTCCTGCCTATTTGTTTCACAATCGGTTCCTGGTTGGTTCGCTCCCAGAGATCCCACCCTGTTGCTGATCTTTTCTGGCCATCTGATCTTGAGTATTGAGCGAGTATTGAGCAGCTGTTAATGAAGGTCTGTAGTTTGTTTGAGATGCTCTTTATGACGCGCTGGCCAAGTCTCTGATCCGTATAGTAGCACTGACTGACTTCACATTGGAGTTGAAAATCCGGATCTTATTTTGGATGCTGAGTGTTGTTGACCTCCACACAGACTTGAGAGTAGTGAAAGCTTGTCTTGCTTTTCCGATTCTTGCTTTGATATCCTCATCAGTTCCGCTGGCCTGTAGTTGAAACGATGCTTCCGAGGTAGGTGAAAGAGGTTGTTTCTTCCAGGTTCTTCCCATTTATTCTGATTGTTGTCAGTTGTTGTTGTTGCTGTTGGTGGTGTTGCCCAGGAATTTTCATCACCTCTGTCTTATCTATGTTTACATGAAGTCCTATCTTTGATGCTTCTTCTGCCAACTTGTTGCTTTTCGCTTGCATATCTTCCAGTTTATGGGAAATCAGACATATATCATCGGCGAAGTCCAGATCCTCCAAGTTTTTTTTTGTGAGTCCATTTTATGCCTGTCTCCTCATTGCCAGCTGTTTGTCGCATTATCCAGTCTACTGCAATCAGGAAAATCATTGGCGATAGTAGGCAGCCTTGTCTTACTCCTGTCCTCACTTCGAAGGATTCCGTAAGTTTCCCGTTGTGGATTACTTGGCATGCAGCATTGTCGTACAACTAAGTGTTGGATGAGATGTATAATTGTCGGTGGCTGTGTGTAAATTTTTTTCGTTTGAATCGATGAATTAGTGTTACTGAAATGCAAATCCTGTGGATTAATTTTATCAGGAGCTTCATTATCACAGACTTTTTGAGTTCGACATGAATTGTATTCAAAACTCAAAGTGATACTGACCTCTACTTATTACTAATACACAAAGTGTGACTTTGTTGCTTGTCACCGCTGTGTTGAAGTAATGCATACTACTAACATTTGATTTCAGTACTCGTATTTTAACTTTCTCAGAAAAACAAAAACACATCATTTTTATTATCTTTGCGTAATTATAATTTTGTGATTTAATTTCTCTATTCACAGATGGCTACATTAATTGGTTTATTGAAGACTGCACGTCTTCTACGCTTAGTTCGTGTTGTTCGTAAACTGGATAGATATTCTGAATATGGTGCAGCTGTCCTCCTCTTACTTATGGCAACATTTGTATTAATTGCTCATTGGTTAGCGTGTATATGGTATGCTATTGGAAATGTTGAACGTCAACAATTCAATGTACGCATTGGTTGGTTAGATCAATTAGCTGAACAAACTAAACAACCATTTGGTAATAGATCAACACTTGGACCAAGTATTAAATCAAAGTATATTACAGCATTGTATTTTACATTTTCAAGTTTAACTTCAGTTGGCTTTGGTAATGTCAGTCCTAACACGAATCCAGAGAAAATATTCTCTGTATGCGTTATGTTAGTTGGCTGTAAGTTGATGTTCACTTTAGTTGGATAAAGTAAAATTTCATGTTATCTAATGTTTATCAGTCGCTGGCATAGTGGTTAGGATGCTCGCCGACCATGCACATGGTCCGGGGTTCGATCCCCGGCCACCGACGCACTCCTTCACCTCGCTAAGCCAGAAATAAAGCTGGTGAAGAGGAAAGGTTGGGTATGAGGCTAGCAACCCCATCCTGTATAAATAATCACCACTGCTACAGAAACTTCAAGCCACAAGCTTGAAGCCATATGTTCACTGGAGAACGTGAAGGAAAAAAAGTGTTTGTCAGTCAGCTAGAATCGGGATATATTTATTCTAGTGTATTTGAGTAATTTAAATATCCCCATGGTGTATAATCAGAGCAGGATGACTTTGAGCAAACAGTTGCTTTTGATAACTTCTTCTTCAGGCTCTACATTTATAAATCCATGAATATACAGTAAAGGCAAATGAAAATTATATCAGAAACATTATTGGGGTATATTCGGCGGTGTGACAGAAATATGATTACCACAAAATCCATTCATACATACATACATGCACACATACAAATGAGGCATACTGAATGTAAGTTCGAGGGCTGAAAGATAAAAAGTGTCGGTTTGTAGGGATTTGATTGGTGCCAGGTTTGGTGACGAGTTGACATCAGTTACAGAACCATTGGAATGTCTGGGAGTACTGGACTTCTGTTTCCTCCTAGTTCGAGACTCTTCATCGGTACACATCCACTGGGGCTCGAACCCCAGGACTTTCCGATTGCAAGGTGACCTCGTAGACTATTCAGCCAGTTAGAGCCGGTACAATGGTCTATGAATTCCAACTTCTGACAATAACAAATATATTGACAAAGTAGAGGTTAACTTGTGAACTGTCATCAAATACTAGAGACATGATAAGCTTAGTGGAAATTACAAAGGTTGACAAATATTAATGATAATAATGGTGTGAAGTAAGCTAGGTGAAAAGGAAAAAGAAGGATATAATAACAAGTGAAGATATAAATGATTAAGTCCCTGATGACCTTAAAGTAGGCCAAGGTAAACAAAGAGGATAAATTTGATTTTTTGCTCATATAGGTTAGGTTTCTTCTTAGTAATCTCTATGGCTATGAGACGTAATCGTGCGTCTTTAGGCAGAATGTTTGGAACTCGATACATAACCGCAAATGACTGCATCCATTTTGATGCGGTGTTCAGTGTCCACTACATGAGGCAAAATGGCACTGGAACATGTTCACGGTTACGTAAGGATAAACTCCTCTGAGTACGAGTATAAAACTTGGGCACTGTGGCAGAGTATAACTCCATTATAGATAAGATTTTATTTTGATAAATCACACAGTGTTACACAGTCATATTAACTAATGACGTTTCGAGCACAAACTATTGCTCATAATCATATCATATGACTGCTAGTCTAGGTACTTCATCTTTCAATCGAGGAATCACTATCAGTCGTGTAGAAAGCATGAGTGGTAGTTTACCAGCATTGAAAGTTCTTTGAATAGATTTTCTTAACTTTTTCGTAATTATTTCACCAGGAATATCGCCCTTGAATTGCAGTCGCGTGTATAAAGGCTTCTTGTTTACGCATAGTAAATAGTCCCTTTCATTTTTCTTAGTGATATGTTTCTTGATGAATTTGTTGGAATAGCTATTTTCAATCTAGGTATCATCTACAATCCCTAGTTCATCTTCCATTGCCTCTTCTGAGCATATAGCCCTAACTCTGTGGCTGAGGGTCCTTACTAGATTCCTTTTTCAGTGGATAGGAACGAAGCTATGTAAGTGTGTATATTGTCCTGTCCATGTGGTGTTCCCATGCAAATGTCTCTTTATACTATCATCTGGTTTTCTTGTAAGGAGGACATCTAGGAAGGCAATTCTACTTTGGGATTCCTCTTCGCATGTGAATTTCATATCAGAGTGTACTTCATTGAATTGAGTTATTGTTGTGTTCCTATCCGAATTATTATCACAAAGAATAAAGGTGTCATCCATATACCGGCAATAAAATGAGAATTTTATGATAAGGTTGTTCAAAGGTCCATTTTCTATTTTACTTAGAAAGAAATCTGCCGAAATGGGACCCAATGGGGAGGTCATCGCCACCCCATCCACTTGTCTGTAAAGTGTGCCATCAAATTTGAAATTTACTTTCACGGTACACCTCAATGACAGTTCTTTTAGGATTTCTGTTGGGATGCCAGTATGGTGGTGTGATACAGACAATGTGTTCCGACGGAATATTATTCTCACATGTATACACAAAAAATACTATATTTAAACATTCTATTTCATGTCATTTGATGTAAACCAAAATCACACGCTCAGTAATTGGTTATATATATATATATATATATATATATATATATAGGTTTGATCAGTTGAAAATATACCTGGGCTTCCGTGTCTTACCTTCTGCTGTTACACCAGTATTTATCGACTTGTTATACACTTGTTCACAAATGTACTTGGCCTTTTCTACTAGAGATACATTTGTGAATAAATGTGTTATATCTAAAGATATCATAGTTTCATCCTTGATATTAATATCTTTGATTTTGTCTACGAATTCGAATACATCTTTGACGCTATGTTTCACTATCTGCTCATGAAATGGTTTGAGAATATTTACTAACCATCTAGCTAGAGCATGGTAGGGTGCTGATTGAGTGACATTATTTGTTTTCCTTTCCGTTCCGCTTAAAATCGAGATCTTCAAGCTTGAGCTCTGAAGCTTCACTAGCAGTGGTGTTTACTTTTTACAGGGGAAGTTGCTGATCTCACACCCAGTCTTCCCTTTTTACCGACTTAGCGAGGTTTAGAAGTGTCTCGGTCTGATATTGAACCGTGATCACGTGCACGGCTGACGAATATTCTGCCGCTTAACAGCTGACTTATATGACATAAGCAGTTGGATACTATTCATACCTACCAGAAGTGCTTGCCGGCTATAGACGTACTAATGGACTTAACCCAAACACACTTCAGCGACTCAGGGATTGACTTGCTACCAGGGAATAATCTCGTCGACTTAGAATATGCGGACGATATAGTCCTTCTAGGCGAGGACGCTGACAAATTGGAGAGTCTACTGAACACCTTGAGCAACAATCTTCGTATGTTTGGCATGCGATTGGCCCCTGTAAAATGTAAGATGATGCTGCAGGATTGTACTTCACCGACCCCTAGATTAGAAATAGGAAGTGAAGTGATAGAGCACGTTGAACGCTTCAATTACTTGGGAATTACCAGCAGCCCCAACGGGTTGATCTCAGACGAAATATCAGCACGAATACAGAGGGCTAGGTTTGCATACGCCAGTTTACGCCGTCTCTGGCGTAGACGTGATATCCGACTATCGACCAAAGGGCGTGTGTACTGCTCAACAGTTCGCTCCGTCCTCCTTTATGACTGTGAGACCTGGCCATTGAGAGTGGAAGACATGAAAAGATTAGCTGTCTTTGATCATAGGTGTCTGCGTTCTATCTCCCGGGTGAAGTGGTATAATAAGGTGAGCAATACTGAGGTTAGGTGTCGAGTTCTAGGGAAGAGGGGGAAATCAATCGACGAGGCTGTGAAATTACATCGACTGAGATGGTTCGGACATGTGTTACGTATGCCTAGTCATCGCCTTCCTCGACGGGCAATGTTAGCTGATATAGGGTCAGGCTGGGAAAGAGCTAGCGGTGGTCAAACGAAAAAATGGCACCAGTCAATGAAATCTACAACAGTTAGTCTAAGCCACGTAGGAAGATGTAAACTTCCTGGTTGGGGTCCTCGGGACGGTAAAAACCAATGGTTGGAAACAATTGGTGATATGGCTCAAAATCGTTCTCATTGGCCGGCGCAGATGCATCCACTCCTTGTGACTTATGATTTCCAATGAAACTTTTGTCCTTCGTTATTACTATTCCTTTGTCTTACACCTCTGTTTACTGTCTCTAATATGCATTTCTCCTACTTTCTTCTCTTGCTTTGTGTGCTACAAAAAGGGAGTGTGGCGACTTGAACTGTCGAAAACCGACCGACCGACCTCCGGCCAAATGGAAGTGATCTTAAACGTCCACTGTGATCCGCATAATTTCGATTTCCAAAGAAAACTCTAGTGAAATTTCACATCCTCAAGCTGTGTGAACCGCAAATCGTGAATTTATTTGTGAATTAAACACTGAACGGTAACTCTGTGTGAATGTGCGTGACTGATTAGCTTCCAGCTATTGAATCCGCATCTCAAACCCCCTACCAATAACTCTATTTGCTTACTTATAAGCCCTTACTTGTAAATAATACCTGATTGTTCCATACATCAAAAGGGAGAATTGTCTGTTGAGGGGAAATTATATAATGAGTTCTACTATTTAAATAAAAGTTACATTCACACTGAACAAATTCTAAGCAGGACAAAACTCTCATCTTTCACACTTTTTCGTCGTTTGTTAATCGCTATTAAACAAACAAATAAATGTAAATGTAAATGCAAGTCAACTTTTTTTCCTCTTATTCTCTCACTTCACGTTTTAACCTCATTAGTAGAAGTATTGATCAAATTGTTATTATTATTTTTTAGGACAATGAAATAAGTAACAATGACTCTATGTATATGAGGTCAAGCATACTTATTTCCTTCCTTTCCCCTTCCTTGAATGGCATATAAATCATGAACTGTCGTCCATTACTTCAGTCAGCTAGTTTCTTTTAAATATTATTATAAATTGAAATTCTAGATAACTACTGTAGGAAAGTAGAATTCAATGTCAGTTTTGTCAATCTACTACATTACGTAATGTTACCTACATTGTTATGGTTCACTTGATAACTACTTATTTCAGTTAGTAGTATATATTTACCATCATACCATTTTGCTTGTTTTGTCTTGGTTGCCATTTATAATGTAAAGCAGCGTTTTCATAGGACGGTGTAGTAAAGTCGCATCCTAAACTATCTCATATGTAAATGACTAATTCATCTTCATGTTTGACTA